CACCTAGTGAGAAAGTTTTTACTAATATCTAACCTAAACTTTCCTTGCTGCAACTTGAAATCACTGGTCCTTGTTCTGTTACCTGCCACTACTGAGAACAGTCTAGCTCCATCCTCTTGGGAACCATCATTCAGGAGTTGAAGGCTGTTATTAAATCCCCCTCAGTCTTTTCTCCAGGCTAAATAAGCCTAGTTCCCTCTGCCTCTCCTCATAAGTCCCATCCCCCCTAATTATTTTTGTTGCCTTCACTACAATTTGTCTACATCCTTTCAGTAGTTTGGGGGGGGGAAGGAAGGAGGGGCAAAATTGGACAAAGTACTCCAGATGTGGCCTCACTAGTGCTGAATAGAGGGGAAGAATCATTTCCCTCAATCTGCTGACAATGCTCCTAATAATGCAGCCCAGTGTGCTGTTAGCCTTGTTGGCAACAAGAGCATACTGTTGGCTCATATTCAGCTTCTTGTCCACTGTGATCCCCAGGTCCTTTTCTGCAGAGCTGCTGCCTAGCCAGTTGATCCCAAGCCTGTAGCAGTGCATGGAGACTTAGTTTCATCCTAAATGGAAGACTTTGCATTTGTCCTTTTTGAACCTCATGAGATTTCGTGTTTGAAATTTCAAACAATTTCAATGCCAGTCAATTCATAAAAGGTATGGAAGGGTGCCACGAGTCCAGAAAGATGAGAACCACTGCTATAGACTCTCTTCATAATCCACTAGAACTATCTGCAGCTCCTTTGGGACTTGGGGCCCCTCCAGACTTGCACGTAAAGACATGATGGGATCTGATGCATGATCCAAAGAATTATGCTTCCTACCATGCCACATGTTCACAGCAGGAGGCATGACTGTGGGTTCATGCATCAGATCCCATCATGCCTTTACGTACAAGTCTGGAGGGGCCAGACCAGGGGGAAACTGGGATCACAATCCCGGGCGTGCCCTGGACTGGTAAGTAGCAAGCTCCTGCAGCTGGGAGCTCCCTCAGCTGACCCCATGCACCACCATGCACCCCCACAGCTGGGAGTCCCTTGAGCTGATGAGTCTTCAGTCATACGGGCTCACCTGGCCACACATTCAGTTAGGAACCATCCACAAAGTTATTACACATTTTTTGTGGAATAAATTTTGACATTCCTTATTTTATCATGCTATTAACTAATTCAACATGTGGCTAGGCTACAACTTAAGATGCGATTAACTGGTCAATAAAGTCTTAAGCACAACATGTGGCAGGGGCCTTAGTCTAAGATTCCAGCTCACTGAGAAACTTCAATCTTGCAACAAACTCTTTAAAGGTGCAGGATGTGTATGGAACAACTTGCAGGATAGGATCTTACTGGCCATTGGGAGACTACTACAAAGGTGATACCCACAAAACATTATCTAATGGATGAAATAAATGACCAAAAAATAAAATAAACATTTCTTCAGAGTAGATTAAATTGTTATTTGTAACTAGAATAGTCAAAAGCAATTTAGATAGGTGTGATTTTTAAACTGACTGTCTCTCTTCAAACAAGCGGCCTAACTGTACTTTACAGATTGGTAAATGAAATAAATCCAGTGTTAGGGTGGACATTCTTTAATAAAAAACATACATACTTGGTCCGTGAAGCATGTGCATATATTTAGTCATGAAATGCACATACGGGATAAAGATGACAGTTCCCTGACCCCCCTGTAAAAGGGAAAAGGTACTTACGGGCTGCTTTGATTTGTTTCTGAGTGGCCCTGTATCTTATGTGTCCCAGTCCAAGTACTGCATAATGATCTTGATTCTGATAAGGAATTACAAACATTAATATGTGCAGTCATCTGTAATCTAAAAAACCCACAAGACAAAATATTCAGACAAATACGACTTGAAAGCTTTTCATGTTTTCTTCTATCAGGGCTGAATTCTCCTCTGTATGTATAAAGATTAGCAATGGGCAACTTGGACTTTTTATCCACAGGCTCTCAATATCTAATTATAGACAAAATCATTTCAAAATAAGCCCTTGTTACAAAAATGTAACCAGCTCCACAGGAATTCACTTAAGCAAAGGTTCTCATGACATGAACCTTGCCTGTCGTATTCTCAGTGATCCACTGAAAATGTTGAAAAGGTGTCCAAATTTCCTCAGAACAAAAGGAAAAAAGCTGTTTTCTTAGAGAGACATATTTGATTTCATAGAGACTAAAACTGGATCTCAAGCTGGTTTCACTCCAGTAAAATGAGAATAGGGCCAAGATCACTTTCTGCTGCATATTTATTAGTCTGATTAATAGAAGGGAAGTCACTGACACTCAAATAGGAGAATGTAAGAGTATCCTCACTTAATCACCTAATTACCTATGGAAAACACAAAGGAAGCTATTTGCTAAAGTACATGGAACAATCCAGATGAGGGAAAAATACCTAGAGACAGGAGCCTTTAGATAACTATGGACCAGAAGTAACTTTCCCATAATACGCTTAATGAAAGAGTTAACGCTTTTTACATTCGCTGTATACCTTCCAGTCCTTTGGATCAAGTGTTTTTAGCATAGGAAATTCTTCAAGCTGTAGTTCTTCATCCCCAGACTCTTCAGACAGCTCTTTCTCATCCTCCAGCTCCTGGAAAGAGGCAGAAACATTTATGTTTCTCCTCTTAATAAAAGCTTCAAACCATCTTCCCACAGGTTCAACTTGACAGTGCACAGAAGCTGCAAATAAAGCATAAGAGTTTCACATTGCAATTTATATATTTTCCATTTAGGCTGAGATGTATTTCACCAAATAATCACTTCACCAATAAGGACTTCTTAATGCACATTTAACAGCCTTGCTACCATTTGACAGACTATGAAATATGCAAAATTGCCCATTACGTTGTTTATTCCGTGTTCATTATTGCAAAATCCCTTCTGTGAACTCAAACTCACTAATTTTGCTCCTTGGCTTCCCTTTGCAACAACACAAAGTGCTAGCTCAAAACGGACTACAGATGTTCAGCTACAACTGGCAAAAATCAAACTCTGTCATGAATGAAAGACGCAACAGGACCGAACCCAAACTCTAGGCTCAAATGACAGTCACTTAAACTTGCAGACTTCTAGACAACTTACAGAATCGCACTAACCTCCCCATGTTGCTTCCAGCTCGGGGGCTAGTTTGCACCATGTCTGCCTGGCGCTGCCCCACGTGTGACAGACGTGCCCACGTCACCACATACAACAGGCAGGGCCCTGACCCTGACGCTACTTATGCACGTCCTTCGCTATGGACTTCCCCGGGATTATTTGCAGGCTCTCGGACGTGAGTTAAGCCTTCCTGTATCTGCCTGGTGGATCCTGGGATAAGGACCCGAACCAGGCTCTCGCTCGCCCTCGCGGTTGGCGCTGCGTAGTCAGGCGACGAGACGCGAGCCTGGCGACTGCAACGCGCTCAGATTAAACGAGCGCCTCGAGGCGCCGCTTCGACTGTCCTTAGGATGCCACCTTCAGTTTTCCTCACAGAGGACTCGCGGTGCTGTCTTTGCGCCCACGAGCACGGCCCGGGGCGTAGCGCAGCCCCCAGCGGCTCAGTGCCCGGCTTCTCACACAGCACCGGCCTGGCTGGCTCGCGGGCTGGACCCAGCCCAGCGGGGCCCCGCGCCCCCCGCTCCGCTTGCTGCTCCCACCCCCGATCTACGGCTCCGCTTGCTGCTCCCCGCCCGGGCCGCGGCGCCTACCCGCAGACAGGGCGCTGGTGACGGCGGGGAACTGCCCCCCGGGCGCCTCCCGCAGCAACGCAGCG